GCGCATCTACATTGGCCACGGACGCTTTTCCGGAAAAAGTGCTTTTCCAGAAAAGCATCCTGCCAATGTAGATGCGCTTTTTCCGGAAATACTTATAACGGAAAACTGTTCCGTTTTAAGCATTTCCAGAAAAGGGTGCCAGTGTAGACGTAGCCCTGGAGTATTGTGTCCAGTTCTGGGCCCCCCACTATAGAAAGGATGTGGATGCATTGGAGAGGGTCCAGTGGAGGGTGACAAAAATGATTTGGGGGCTGGAGTGCATGACCTATGAGGAGAGGCTGAGGAATTTGTTTAGTCTGCAGAAGAGAAGAGTGAGGGGGAATTTAATAGCAGCCTTCAACTTCCTGAAGGGAGGTTCCAAAGAGGATGGAGAGAGGCTGTTCACAGTAGTGATGGATGGCAGAACAAGGAACAATGGTCTAAAGTTTCAGTGGGAGATCTAGGTTGGATATTAGGAAAAACTATTTCCCTAGGAGGGTGGTGAAACACTGGAATGGGTTACCTAGGGAGGTGGTGGAATCTCCAGCCTTAGAGGTTTTTAAGTCTTGGGTTGACAAAGCCCTGGCTGGGTTGATTTAGTTGGGATTGGTCCTGCTTTGGGCAGGGGGCTGGACTTGATGACCTCCTGAGGTCTCTTCCAGCTCTATGAGTCTGAAGACCTGCTAAATCGAACCCTGGGGGTGCCCCTGTAAGCGATGGTACTCCTGCTCCCCATGAAGACTAAGGGAAGTTGATGGGAGGTCTCCCATTGACCTCCCACTGTGTGGACAGTGCTGAAGCGCAGTATGTCAACCGCAGTTATGTTTATGTAGCTGGAATTGCATACCTTTAGCCAACCTTCCCCCATAATGTGGACTTTGCCTTAGAAATTGATTTATTCTGACCTCCTGCATAGTAAAGGCCATACGAGAATTTCACCCCGGGTATGTCTACACTACAAAGTTAATTCGAACTAACAGCCGTTCAAGATGTGGGCATACCATAGTTTTATATAGGGGCAGTAAGATATTCTGGGTTTTATTTTCTATCCCTTTCTTAATAATTCCTAGCATCCTATTTGCCTTTTTGACCGCCGCTGCACACTGTGTGGAAGTTTTCAGAGAACTGTCCACGATACTCCAAGATCTCTTTCCTGATTTGTCGTAGCCAAATTAGCCCCCATCATACTGTACGTATAGTTGGGGTTATTTTTCCTGATGTGAATTACTTTACACTTACCCACATTAAATTTCATTTGCCATTTTGTTGCCCAATCACTCAGTTTGCTGAGATCTTCTTAGAGTCCCTCACAGTCTGCTTCTGTAGAGTCCCTCACAGTCAGTTTGGTATCATCTGCAAACTTTACCACCATCCTTTACTTCTTAAATAACTGTCCTATGTCTGTTCTTCCATTATTTCGCTCAGGTTAGAAGTCAGGCTAACTGGTCTCTAGGAATCTGTTGAGACTGCTAACTTTGAGCTCTGTTGATGAAAACCTTGATATAAGAGATTGTATAGTTACTGTGGTAAATAACGGCCAATGCTGTTAGCTTATTTTATACACAATAGCTATTTACATGTGTAACAAGTTCAGTCCTGAGTGCAAGCAGCAACTTGGTGGCTGAGGGGGGACTCACAAGAGTCAAAATTCAGTCCGTGGCTGAGGTTCAGGCCTCCTCTTTTACCCCCTCACTCAGGTGTGGTTTGCAGGGGACTGGGGTGGAGGGTGGACCCAGGCCCACCCACTCCTCTGGGTCCTATATGTAGCAGATACCTGTCGAGTTTCAAAATTCATAAGTATGGTTACGTTTCTGGGCCACATCCCCAGGATGCCACTTCATCTAGCACTTCTCTAGGGCCTTGCTGCAGAGTTTCCCTTGTTTGGGTTCCGTAGAGTTGTCCCTGGCTAGACTTTAGCCACAGGATTTAGCTCCGCTTAGTTATGAGAGCCCAGCTCCCACTCGGAGCAGTCCAAGGTTCTGGTTATCCCAATCAGCTCAGAAATCTGCCTGGGATGAGCTCCAGGAAAGAACTGACAGGCTTTAGCTAGTAGCTCCTTATATAGCAGCCTGCCGCAGTCTGATTGGCTGCAGTGTAGGCTGCACCTCTACCCTGCTTGGAGGACCTTTCCACTGCTCCTACTGCTGGCCAGGGTGCTGAAAGGCCTCCAGAGGGGAGGTTGGGCTTTCTCCGCCCCATGGCAGTGACATTTTTCCACCATAACCCAGGGCTGAATTTGAAGATCCATTCTACCCTGTGAAAGTTTCTTGGAACATGTAATTAATTGTGTAAACCATCCTTCGTGTGATTAGCAGAATTTTAAATTAATTTTATTGATGCTTGTTTCTACCTGTTTTTAAGGTACTACTAGCACACAGAGACATACATTTATTCCATCCTAAAACACACTCATAAAGGTTGTTTCATGTTACCTGCAGCAGATCTCCACAAGGGGGAGGATCTCTAGCTTGCTGGCTGCTGCAAAAAGTTCTGAGGCTGTCTCTAGGGTTAGTGATATTTCTTCGGTGTAGATGTATTGTACTATGCTTTGGAGGATGGTAGGAGCTATTTCCTGCAGTACAACTTCTCCGCCCTGGGAGTCTTTGCAGGGCCTGGTGAAAACATCCTTGAAATAAGGACTGGCAGCTGCTAGCAGTACTCTGCAGAAAGAAGGGAAGCAATGTCATTGGAGCAAAGCTGGCATTTGCAGCCATGTGACCATGGTGAGGCCCTGAGGCTGCTGTGATTTTTATGACCTCTTTTGACAAGGGAAAGCTGGTTGTGCTTTGATGGAAGGGAAACCTCTACACTGCTCAATCTTCTAAACTGACCAAGTATCCGAGGGATAGCCATGTTAGTCTGAATCTGCATAAACAACAAGGAGTCCTGTGGCACCTTATAGACTAACAGATGTATTGGAGCATAAGCTTTCGTGGGCAAAGACCCACTTTGTCAGATGCAATAAGTCTGACCAAGTCTGCTCAAATGAGATGTGTGCCCAAACACCAAAATGTGGGACATGGACAGGTTATTATGTTGTCAAACCTGTAAAACCTGTGCTTACAGATGTTCCTTTACCATGCAAATTAAGTAACCCCATTTTTAAACCAAAACTGGAAAATCATCTGTGCTGTAGCCATGCTAGATCAGATCAATGGTTCATCTAGCCAGTATCCTGTCTCTGAGGGTCTGTCTACACTACCACCCTAGTTCGAACTAGGGTGGTAGTGTAGACATACCCGGGGGGGCAGGAGAAAAAAGGGGTGGGCATCAAGGACAGGGTGGAGGAGAGACAAATGCTAGGGGCCAAGAGGAGACAATGAGGAAAAGGGCAGGCAGAGCAGGAGTGGGGGGAGGGGAAGGTGTCAGAGGGGATGGGACAAGGGAGGGGATAGGGTGATGCTGGGAGAGGAGAGGGGCACACAGAGGGTGTAAAGACACAGAGGAGCATGAGGAGCAGTGAGGGGGTGGGCACCAGGGAGGAAGAGGGCAGGGGGGCAGGTGTTGTGAGGGAAGGTGGAAGCACCAGGAGGGTTCAGGGAGTAAGGGAAGATGTAGGTGCCAGGGCAGTTTTGGGGGTGCAACAGAAGGGCAGACACAGGGAGGGGAGTGACGGGCACCGGAGGGCAGAGGAGGGGGGCAGGGCAGATGGGTAGAGGGAAGTGTTAGGAGAGGGGATGGAGCAGCTACAGATGATCAGTGGAGCTAGAGGAGGAGGTAGACACGGGGAAGGGCAGGTGCAGGGGTCAGAGAGTGCGGGGATGGGAGCAGGTCCCAGGAGGGCTGAGGGGAGTGAGAAGAGAAGGAGCCAGGACCGCAGAGGAGGAGGTGGGGTGGGGGGCATCAGGCACCAGGGGAGCAGATGGGGCGAGGGGAGGGTGGGAGACAGGGCAGCAGAGGGGAAAGGGAGAGGTTTATAAGATATTTGTTAATAACTTAGGTCCTCTGGCGGCACCCATCCGAACAAGCGCGCACGACCTCAGTATTGGTGCCCAAGACAAAACTCCCTCTGCTCCTGGATGGCAAATCTTAGAGGGAACACTGGCTCCAACGGAACATCTCGCACCTGTAGAAGTCGTCCACGCAGTGCACCTCGTTCTGATCGTCCAGCGCAAAGCTCCCATCCCCGATGCTCCGGCAGCACACGGAGCACGTGAAGCACTCCGGGTGGTACCCGTTCCCCAAGGCCCGGACGATGTGGTCGAGGATCACAGCCTGGCACTTGGCACATTTCTCCAGCGTGTCCTGCGGAGGGAGCAGAACGAGAGGCAGATAAAGCGCAGAAGTGGGAGGCAGAGGGAGCTCCCGGTGCAGCCCGCTCACGCCGTGAGGGAGGCCATCCAGGCCAAACAGCTGGGAGGAGGCAAAGTTCAATGCCTTGCATGATCTCAGAGATGGAAAACGGAGCCATTTGTGCCTCTGTGTGAGAAGCTGCCTGCTAAGCCCCATGGCCCTGCTGTCTCTATAGCCAATGTCCTGGCTGGTACCAATGGGACCCTCGGCCTTCCCGTAGTACTTTCCAGGGGCTAACGTTAAGGCCTGGGCAAATTGCCAAAAGCAGCCTGGACTGCGACTGGTCAATGGCACGTGCTAAAAACCAAAGCCAGGTGCCTCAGGCGACCTGCCAGACTGGGCGCTTGGAGCGAGAGGCCCCTTGTGGAGACGCTGCCATGGAATCAGTCCCATGGCAGGCCTGGCTCCCACTCCCCTGCTCTCCGCACCAGGCATGCTCCCTGCTTTCCCTGGGGCTAACCCCGCACGGCAGCTCCTGGAGATCCTGGGAGGTGAGGCTGCTCAGTGCCCCTGGGACCAGGCCCCTCTTCCACACGTGTCTGCGCCGGTGCTGGGCGGCCTTCCTGTGGTGGGCACGTCTATGGCGAAGGGCCCGCACCAGGCCCGCTCTCTGACCCCCCCAGCCACGCTCTCTGACCCCTTCCTACCTCCCCAAGGGCCTGGAGCTCCCTGACTCCTGAGGACAGTGACACTGCTCCTGTGGAACGGGCACCCGGTGACTGACCTTGTAGCAGGCGTTGCACATTGGCCGACCCTCCTTCTGGTAGTAGTGCTGCCCTGCCAGCTGGCCGTGGCATGTCCGGCACCTGAAGCAGTCCACGTGGTACTGCTTGTTCATGGCTTCGATGGCCACAGTCTGAGGGCCAAGGGCTTTGTGACAAAAGGCACAGACTGGAAGAGAGAACCAGGGTCACTTTTCTATGGTCAAAATGCTTCCACTGGACAGTGAATCACCGGGCCCTGCCCACCAGTCAGACCCGCAGCTCGCTGGGGGAGAAAGCCAGGCTGCAGGGCTGGTCTTGAATGCTGTGTAGAGAGGGTGAGGATCCCCTAGGAACGCAGCAGCATCTTCAAACCCTCTCCTCCAGTCTCAGGCCCCAGCGCCAGCCAAACACCTCCCACATCGTTCTCCCCTTGCTGAGAGCGTCCTGCTAACCCCTCTTCCCAGGCCTCGGTTCCCAATGCCCCTCCCTCTACAGCCTTGCTGCCACTCCCCGCCCTGGTGCTGCTGGTACCCATGCTCGGCATTTGCATGAGAGCTGTGCCCAGAGGCCAGAGCTGCTGTGCCACCAGCTGTGCAACTCCTCTGGATACCCAAATGTCTCTCCAGGCCCTTGCGGGGGCACGTCCCAGAGCTAACACCCTGCCCGAGAAACACCTCTGCAAAAGTGCTCCAGGTGTCCGGGAACAGGAGCGCTGCTGGGAGCTAGCAATACGGACCTTTCACTACCACACAATGTGTCCTCGCTAGCAAGCAGGCGAATGCAACCCCAATGGAGCCCTCTTGGGACCCTTGCAATCTGGGAGACTGAGCATGAAGCTGGGGATCCTGGCAACCTAGCATTGACTCTGCCACTGACTCACTGCATGGGCTTGAGTAAGTCACTTATCACCAACCTTCCTCTTCCCCTTCTGCAAAATGGGGAGAGTCAACCACACACAGCTTTGCAAGGCATCTTGGGATCTATGGAGGTGAAACACTTTCAGAGTGAGATATTATTAGTAGACTCCATGAAATAAGCCACTCGCCACATGCTCACCCCAGGCAGCAGGGGTGACTCTAACTTAAATTTCTTACAGATACTCCGACTGCAACCCACCCCTACATCACATCAGACCAGACATGAGCACAGTCCACCTGACAAGACGTGAAAACTGAAAGCCGAAGGGGACTTGTGCTGTAAAATATCGGTAATTAAAGCAAGAACTCGGGGTTTGTAATGAATGCCAGTTCCTTCCTGCTGGAATGTGTGAGGGTGCAGAGGATCAGGGCAGGGGGTTGTGGGAGGGGCTCAGGGCAGAGGGTGGGGGCTCAGGGCAGAGGGTGGGAGTGCCAGGGGCTCAGGGCAGGGACTGGGGGTTCAGGGCAGGGGGTGGGGGCTCAGGGC